TGGACTCCGCTCAGGTGCCTCGCGCACTCTTTTTGGGGGGCGGGGAGGGGGCCGGCGTGTGTGTGTGTGTGTGCATGGCAACTGCAGACCCAGCCTCTCCCCCTCCTCCTCCTCCTCCGCCCCCTCCTCGCGCCGCGAGTGGCGCGCGCGCTGCCAGCCCTTTCGCCGAGCGCCCGAGCCAGCGAGCGATGCCTCAGAGCGGACCTCGCCGCCCGCCAGCCCTCCGCGCCCTGCCCGGCCGCCGCCGCGCTCTGCCTCTCCGCCTCAGCGGCGGCAGCAGCCACAGCAGTAGCAGCAGCAGCAGCCGCCTCGCCTCTGGAGCCTCCGCGCTGGCTTCGCCTGGCAAAGTTTGCGCCGCTGCCTCGTCGGCGCCTCTGAGGGGGAGGCCGGCCGGACTTCTTGGCGCGGGCGCGCGCGGGGATGCGTGAGGCGGAGGGGAGCTCGGACTGAGGCCGGGGAAGGCAACCGCCCCCTCCCCCCCCCCGTCGGGATATTCGCCTCGGAGGGACGTCGATGCCGTGCAAAGGGGGCGGCCGGGTGTCCCCCCCGCTCCCCAAAGACCCGCGCCCTCCTCGGCTCGTCGCTCTCCCGGCCGCCGCGGGAGGAAAAGGGGGGCTCGGCGGGGAAGGGGCCGCCCTCGCCCGGCCGGGGCCCAGGTGAGGCGCCTCGGGGCCGGCTTTCCCCTCCGAGGGGCGACGACGACGGCGACAGCGGCGAGCCCGCGCCCCGGATCCAGACCTTGCTGGAGTCACCTGCGCGGAGGAGCCCGGCGTCGGCCAAGCCACAGCTCCTCTCTTAAGACTTGGATATCTCTCCCGTTGGCGGACTGGGACGGCGGCTTTCTCCACCGGTCCCTCTCGCTCTGCGTGTGTGTGTGGTTTTGGGGTTTTTTTTTTAAAAGGAACCTATTTTTCCCCCTTCGATCCACTCTCGATCTCATTCATTCCTCCCTCCCTGCCTCTCCGGGCGGGGAGCCGTAAACAAGAGACACGAGGCAAACAAGGAATACGATGGTGCCCTGGCTAACTTTCGCCTTCCTTTGGGGGACTTTCTGCGCGCGTAAGTAATCGCCGAGAAAACACGCGCGCGCGCGCACACACACACACAACACACACAAAAGTTGTGATCGCCGCCCTTTTACAAATTGCATTGTTGTTAGTCAAAAGGAATGCGAGCCAGCTCCGTCTCGTGCGCCCGAACGCCTTGGAAACCGAAAGAGTTAATCCGGTTCGCGTTTTTTTGTTTTTTTTTAAAGGAGATCAAAACAACACAACTTTTTTGTGCGCCGTCCGGAGCGATCGCGGCGTTGTTTGTGTGTCTTGCGTGTCTCGGACCTCCCCCCAATTCCCTTCGCCTTGTGTTTTAGCTGCAGCCCCGGGAAGGTTTGGGGGAAAGGGGGCTACTAGGCACCGAAATGTGGTCTTTTTGTGTGTGTGAGTGCGCGCGACAGCGTGCAATGCTCCGTCCCCGGCTGGAAAGGAGGAAGGCGTGCAGTTGGAAAACAAAAGAGGCGACGGGGTTTGGGGAAGAGGCATTTTGCGCCCAGAGGAGGGGGCGTGTGTGGAAAACGCGAGGAGGCTTTCCCTTCGTCTCCAGTGGCCATGTGTTTGCTGCCCAGGGTAGAGATAACCGTCTTTGCTCCGGATGGAACCACATGGTCACTCTAGGCCTGGGATTTTCACTCTGTCCCCCTGAAAGGTTGCATTTTCTTCGCGGGGGCTAAAAAAACGTAGGCTAGGAAAGTCTCTCCCGCGACGTACCCTTCGATTGTTTGGGGAGTCCCTTTAGGTGTAGATCTTGTATGCAACTTCCAAAAATACATAGCTATTATTTTGCAGTCGTGCGCGTCAAAGGCAGCGCCACACGGTTTAAAAACCGCCTCTTTCCCAGGATCTTTTCGTTTTTCCCGGCGGTTTTATTTTTCTAGGAAACCCCCCCCCCCCGGTTTTTTGTTCCGTAAGGTTTGCTTTTTAAAAAACCCACCCACCCACTCTGATGTTCCGTTCCTCTCGTGCTCCGGTGGGATGGTTTGCTGTCGATGGCAACATTTTGCGCTGAACACTCCCCTTGAAACGAATTCTTACAGCGCACCAGGGGTTAACATTGTCGGGTGTTTGGGGCTCTCTCTGTGTGTGTTTGTGTGGAAGCGGGAGAGTGAGACTATCCCAGCCTTTTGTGAGCCTTTTAAAACTTTCTCTCCTCGTCGCCTCCATTGAATGGTTATTTTTTAAACTCCCCCCCCCCCGCGTGCCCGGCCAGCCAGCTAAGCCTGGCACGAGAGAAGTTACACGTGGTAAACAAACGGATGGGGGAAACTGGGAAGAGTTTGCGGCCGGGCCCTGCTACAAAGTGACTTTTCCCTACGAGAGCTGCAGTTGCATTTGGCTCCCGTGCGAGGGCATGAACTAAAAAAAAAATTAAAATAAAATTATGTGGCTTTTGTTCGGGGTGCTGCTTCATTTACATGCCAGACAGCTCCAAGGCTGTCTGGCTTTTTAATTTTTTCCCCCTAAGAAGGAGGGGGGGGGAAAGGAGAGACCCCCTTTATATATGGCCGGGGGTTGGGGGGGGGAGAGAGAGAGAAGGGATGTGCATTGTTGCCCGGTGCAGGGAGAAGCGGCATGGGGGGTGCCTGTGCAAGCTTCTCCCGTTCGTCCAGATTGCCAGGCGGTGGGAGAAGCAAAGGGGGGGTCCTGGTAAAGGTTCTCCCGTCCGCCCAACTTGCCGGGAGGTGGGAGAAGCAGCGAGGGGTGGAGGAGAGGGAGGGAGGCAGGGAAGGGGGTCTGGGGGGACACAAACACAAATCTCGTGGCCGCGGAATAATAACAACCGGCGCTGACGTCACTGCCCAGCCCCATAGCCCGGCGTGGAGCGATTGATTTGTGGATCCCGGAGGAGCGGCGCGCTAGTCGCTGGCCCCACATTTATAACCCCTCCCCCTCCGGGCTCTGGCTTAATACGGGGGCTTGTCGGGCGAGGGAAAGGAAAGGGAGTCTGCCTGGTGGCAGAGTTCGCGGGGTAGCAACCCAGTCTCCTAATTTCTCCCCCCGCCAAAAAAAAAGAAAACCTCCACAACGCAATATAGGCTCTCGTGTTTAGGGTGAGCCTTCTTGGCGCTCAGTTGTCACGCCGTAGCCATTACCGGGGGGTGGGGTGGGGAGGAAAAATATTTTTTGGCTTGTGTACTTGGTAGAATAAGATGTCAGGAGGAGAAGGGGTTTCAGACCAGGGTCCCCTTTCGATGCACTCGCGTGTCGTCTGCAATTAAGAGAAACCTGCTCCTCCTTCCTTAATCTTTTTGGAAGGGTGCGTGTTGCATTTAAATTATGTCCAGGCAGTGATAACTGGTGTGTGTGTGGGAGAGATCCGTTAAATTATGTCCAGGCAGTGATAACTGGAGGGGGGGGACCTTACTCTTGCCTGATACAGATTCCACACTGAAATAAATTGGCTTGTCTCTTTATCTCCCCCCCCCTTTCCCTGTTAAAACTGGTTCCCTCTTTCAGATTTCTCACCCTCCTAAAAGACAACTAACCTCTCCCCGGGTTTCTAGGTCTGCTTTGCAATCTTTGCAATCCTGGGGAGGGTTTGGAAGGACCAGCCCAAGCAGAAGGCTGTGGTGGCAGCCTCTGTGGCGGCGCCTGTGCTGCCGCTACTGATGCTTCGCTGGTGTTTCTTTGTTCAGGGTACCTATTATATATTCACTGTCACTTCGCCTTCTCCCTTTCCTCCCTCCTTTGTACTGTAAGCAATGCTATTTTCTCCTCCTCCAGTTGAGCTGGAAGTTGGAAAGGGATGATGCTTGCCTTTGTTTCTGTTTTGTTTTATTAATTAAAAAAGACAACAATGCTTACGTGGTACCAGATCGAAGCAACCAAGCAATTCCCTAACCTGATGGTGCATTTGCATAGATCTTTGTCTCTCCTTGTAAAGGGTTTATGAGTGATTCTAACTGAGAGTGCTCTGCAGAACCAGGCATTTTTGGAAGGAGAGAGATGGCTTAGGACAATACAAGGAGCCCCCCCTGTATGTGTGTGTCTGTATGTTTAGCACCACCGATCATGAAATTCGGTATGCTTACAATCACAGACTGTTCCACTGGTGGAAGTAGGGTTTGTACAAAGGAGCTATTTTTAGCCACTTTCATTCAACCCCCCCATGCCTTTTTTAAAAAGCCTATAGCTATATAGTTTACCCACAGATAAAGACCCTTTTTCTTTTTTGTAATCGTAACCTGCTTTCTTAATTAAGTGTGCAATGATACTGACCTTTCGGAATCAAATCGAAAGCTGCTCGTTAGAAACCACCCTGCAGGTTGCTTGTATGGTCCATAAGACTGGCATGCTTATATCGACTTTTTTTGGAAATGTAATTTCTAAGAAAGAAAGGAAAGCACAGATGCCTCGCATGAATTATTAGAATCCTCCGAGGACGGACAGTCACATCACAGTGAACAAGAGGGGGGCCATGTGTGATATATCTGCTTTTACGAATGGCTTCAGTTGTGTTCCGTGATGTGGTTTTTGTTACATCTGTTTTGCAAGATAGCCTTGCAGATTCTCAGAAACGTTCTGAATGCCGTCAGGTACTGATAGGGAGTCGTCCCTCAGTGGTGTTGGTCAGAAGGTTCCTCTGTGTGTTTGTGTGTAGGTGTTTTTAGCGCTGTGAGAAAGAGTGGCATTTTAAAAACAGCTTTGACCTTAGTTGCATGTGTTTGGATGACTTCTAGTGGTACCTTGGCTGTCTTAGTTGAAACAAAAACAGACTGTTGCTTTTTTCAAATATATAAAAAAGTCTGTTGTGTACTTTAATTTTTGGAGTGTCTGAAGATTTGTTGATGAAAACATTATGTTCATTTTCTACTGTTTTGTTTACAAATTTCCTGCAGCCCAAATGTTCAGGAATCAATTTCTTTTTTAAAATCTTGTTTTGTGTGTGTTTCCCCCCCATCAAAGACAATATGGATTGTATGAAAAGGATTTCTGTCGTACAAGGCACATCTTGGCAAAGCAATGCAAAAGTTAAGCTTCACCCCCCCTCTCTTTTGTAAGCACTTCACTACACAGCAATGAATTGAATTCCAAAGAGATAAGTCCACTCTTTTCCCAGAGCTCCCCATTTATCCTCTTGTGGTTGAGGAAAGGAATGAGACCAGCTTCATTAGCTTGCTAATTAAACACAATGAAGTGCTGTGCCAAGGTTAATGGTGCTGGTCTTTAAAAACACAAAACTCTTGAGCTAGTGTCCAGGATTCTATTAACAAAAATCTATTGTTAGATATAGATTATGCCTCTCTAAATATCAGGACTCATGACTGGTTAGGAATGCTTATGTTAAAATGGGTGTTCATGCACACCATACCTTTAAGGCTACAATCCTGAGCACATTTGCTGAGGGAGTAAGCTGCAGTGACCTCGAAACTGAGCAGAAATGGTCAGGATTGTGCTGCAATTTAGATTTAGAACATATCCCTAATCTGGGACTCAGGGCATGGTTGGAGGATGTAGAGTTACAGCAGCCTAGTTGAGACTAAGCATTCCTGGGTCTCATTAGTCACTTAATGAGTAACCTCCTGGCAACCACATGCGTGGCAGCCCAAGATCTGTGATGGGAGAAACGCGTGATATAAATAAATACGATAATGTTCATAATAGACATACACACTGTCTCTAAAATATAATTAGATCACATTCGAAGAGGATAGAGGGCCATCAGTGGCGGTTACACCAATAAGGAACATCTGCCATAACAAGCACAGTACATCAGAGGGGTACATGTAAGCAGCCACCTTTGCTGTTTTCTGATCCAACCGGAATGATGTTTGGGATCTTTTCTTTTCTTTTTAAACATCTGTTGCGTTTTGAGATGGGTGAACTTTTTAAAGCGTAGGGGGAAACTGAAGCTGGAACCACCACCCCCGTATAATTTCCCCAAGGACAAATAAATATTATGGATTATATTTGAAAACATATAAAGATCAATTCCTGTGTTTCACTTCCAAGAGTTAACAGGAAATATGCAGAGCTCTGCCTTCCCTAACTTTTATTTAACTGCGTGCT